TTATGATGGCTGAGCAATAATTAGACTTTGAAATGGACAGCGTATACTCACGGAATTTGTAGACCACTCTGTGAGTACAAGTGCAACCAGTGTTTTAAAGATCATAGAAGTGAAAACACAGATGAAAAATGCAAGAAATCTCTCCTGCCAAATTATTCTTCAATTGTGCACGACCTCTGCCCCTTCACACAGCGCCTTGCTTGCCTTCAAAAAAATGCCTTTCGTCAGAGAATAAAAAGAACTTGACAAGCTCAGAGACCTTCTAAACCAAAGACACTTGCTGATACTGCGGTTCCTGCAGTGTCACAGAACACATTACACGGTGAACTATTCTTGATTAGAGATTCGACAGTCAAAGAAGATAGATTTCTTCTATTTACCACTAAATCTAACAGAGAAACTAGCACATACTTCACTTTGGCTGATGGATGGCCCTTTCAAACTGTCCCCAGTGTTTCATATCTACTATATACAATCCCTGTTGGATGCTAACAGTCTAGAACTTATCCCGTCTTTTATGTATTAATTAATTAATGACTGGAAAAAGTGAAGGACTTTATAAACGCTTATTTGAAGATTTGGTGAACTTTTTTTATTTATTTATTTATTTTTTGAGACAGAGTCTTGCTCTGTTGCCCCAGGTAGAGTGCAATGGCATCATCATAGCTCACAGCAACCTCAAACTCCAGGGCTCGAGCAATCCTCCCGCCTCAGCCTCACGAGTAGCTGGGACTACAGGCATATGCCACGATGCCCAGCTATATTCTCTATTTCTACTAGAGATGGAGTCTTGCTCTTGCTTGGGCTGGTCTTGAACTCCTGAGCTCAAGCAATCTCCCTCCTCGGCCTCCCAGAGTGCTAGGTTTACAGGCGTGAGCCACCACACCTGGCCTGAAGATTTGGTGAACTTCACAGGACAAAATGGATTTCAACTGAATCCCAAAACCACAATGACAGATTTGGAATTAGGTGTGATTGAGGCTTCTAAAAGTGAATTTCAAGGTGTTATCAATAAAGTTTGTTTTTTTCCATATAGCCCAATAATACATTTGGCAGCAAATTCAGATGAGTGGATTGGCCATGTGACATGGCAATGACAAAAACTTCAGTTTAAAAATGCATCATTTGCCTGTGTCGGCTCTCCTTTCAGCTGATGACATTTCAGGAGCTTTCAATGGATGAAAGCCACATCTGCCTGAAGAAGCCAGTGAATAACCGACTGGTTCAAAAATAATTATGTGCATGGTAGGAGAAAACACTTACACAATGGTGTTGCCATTCGATAACCAGTACTGTTTCTGCCAAATTTGTGTTCTGTATATGAGTGCATGTGAAATGAATTTCCAAGTGCCCAAAACAACGTAGAAGTGTGGCACAGAAGATGGGAAAATTTATCAGGAAATGCTCCTGTTGGTGAATACCAAATCACAGAACTTCAGAAAGAGCAGAGCCACATAGAAAAGGAACGTATCATTGGGGATAGGGCAGCTGGGGATGAGGGGATGGGTAAGTTCACACCTAATGGGTGTGGTGCACGTGGTCTGGGGCACGCTTGTAGCTCTGACTTGGGCAGTGCAAATGCAATAGATGTAACCCAACCGTGTGTACCCCCATAAAAATTTTGAAACAAAAAAAATGGTCCGAGGAGAGCCATGCCCTAAAATCTATTCATTGTGATGCAAAACTTCAAAATATACTTAACGATTGAGAAAGTTGGCCTGCTCTTACAGCCCACCTCTGTGCAAGTGGCCAGAATTAATCTATCCCTGTAATAGACTTTTTCATACGTCTAATTTTCTTTTCAGTTTTTTGATGTTTTTCTTTTTTCCTCACTATGATAAACTGTCAGCATTGTTTTTTTTACCATTCATTATGCTGTGTATTTCATATCTGAATCATTTTCAATATTGGAAGTAGCAGTTGTCTGAAGACTTTTAGAGTTCTAATTTGTTCTATGCATTTTTTTTGCAAATTTGGCTCCACAAAAGTGCACCATCACAATGCTAATTTGTGTGTAAGCCTTTTGTGTGTACATAAAAACATGGAAACTGCCTCAATAAATAAAGAGATGTCCTTTTTGCCACATCCGCATTTGTGAAAGATACAGTTTCTTTAGATCTCCACTCTTTGGGTGATTGCACACGTAGTGGTGACCCACTGTAGTTTTTGGTCGATCCTGTCCAAGGACTTGGGTTGTTCATCATGGTATCTCAGATGACCATGGTTATACAGCTGGGTACACAGAAATAACAACCATAGTGATATGCATTTATACATTTCCCTTTTTGACCTGTTTCTTTATAAATACGGTTTACCTGCTCGTATGACTGTGGTTAGTATACCTGAATATTTAGGCTTGCAAAAATATATATGTTATTATTGCCTATTTTATTGCACAAAGTCGCTTTTGAAGTGTTCTGTCATGTTTTTATGATTCTCAAATAAATTCTCTTTTAAAAATGTAAATAGGCCAGGTGTGGTGCCTCACGCCTGTAATTGTAGCACTCTGGGAGGCCAAGGTAGGCGGATCGCTCAAGGTCAGGAGTTCAAAACCAGCCTGAGCAAGAACGAGACCTTATCTCTACTATAAATAGAAAGAAATTAATTGGACAACTAAAAATATACATATAGAAAAAATTAGCCGGGCATGGTGGTGCATGCCTGTAGTCCCAGCTACCCCAGAGGCTGAGGCAGGAGGATCGCTTGAGCCCAAGAGATTGAGGTTGCTGTGAGCTAGGCTGATGCCACTCTAGCTGGAGCAACAGAGTGAGACTCTGTCTCAAAAAAAAGAAAAAAATGTAAATAAATCTCTCTTAAAGTATTTCTAAAATTATTTATTCCAGAATTATATTTTCAGGGATTGTGTCTTTTGGGATTATGATCAGCTTCCAATTCACTGTATTTACCAACAACACTATTGTTTTGGAGAGGAACGGAAACTCAATTCTTAGTGGCTTCACAACAAAAGGGAATTCATTGGCTCATGTGACCGAAAAGCCCATGGGTAGATTCAGCTTTAGGCATGGCTGGATCCAGGGACCAAACAGTGTTCATGGAATCTGTCTCTCTCAGAATGTATTCTGGGGAAAGGAAGGAAGGAAGGAAAGGAGGGAGGGAGGGCAGGAAGGAGGAAGGGAGGCAAATGTCCACGCAGATCTGCCCAACAATAATTATACTATTAAGTTATTAAGCATGAAATGTCCAATTTCCTTAAGTACTGTTAGACAGTTGATATCTCTCACATTTCACTTTGACACTTCCTGTTTTACTTTTAGTGTGAAGGAACATCCTCATTCTTCCACACACACAGTTTCAGGCTGGCCTATTCTCCCCGTTTTACAGAGGAGGAACGTGGGGCTCAAAGTGGGAGTTAAATAACCTGCCCAGACCTCGAGGCCAGGAGGCGGCAAAGGCGGGACAAGCCCACAGGCCTCCCAACACAGAGAATTCTGTCTGGGAAGGAATGAGGGGGGTGAGGGGGGTGAGGGAGGTGGAACAAGGAATTTTTTATCCTCCTATTGGACCGGGAGCCTCGTAAGGTCAGGGACCGAGTCTGATTCAGCACCTCCTCCCCTGGGACCCCCAACTGGCCCCACATGGGGTGTCACGAAGCCCTGTGTGCTGGGAGGATCCCGGTGCCAGCGGCAGGAGACCACGGAATCCTGCCCAAGGAGGAGAGGCGGGGAGCAGTCCCGTGTCCCGTCCGGGCTAGGGGTCTGGGACACTGAGCGAGACCACAGACACAGACCGGGGCTCCAGCCCGCCTGGCTGCAGGAGGGAAGCTCCGAGGGAAGGAGGGCAGGGCCGGGGCGGCAGGGCACGGCTGGCCGTTGGGAGGAGCCGTCCTCAGGCTTGCTGCCCCGTTCACACGGCCCCTCCGCATGTCCTTTCTGGCCCCCTTCGCAGGCACTATAGGCAGCCTGGGGACACAGACCCGCTGGGGGCGTCTGGCTCTCATGGAAGAGCTAGCCAGCAAGAAAGCAGACCGGCAAACAGCGTGACAGCTAAGCAAGCTTGTGCCGTCCTGAGGGGGACACCAGCAGGGGTGTGGCTGAGGACAGAGGATGACCAGGGGAAGGCTCTCCCGACCGAGCAGGGGAGAAGGGAGCAGGGGCAAGGGAAGGGGCTCGAGAGAAGCTCTGGGCAGAGGCCACTCGGGCAGTGAGAACTGCACGTGCAAAGGCCCCGAGGTGTGAGAAACAGCAAGGAATCTATAGGAGCCCAGGGCGGCCAAAGCACACAGAGAAAGAGGGACCGTGGCAAGAATGGGCATTTCTCAGGACTATGACGGAGGGGAAGAGAGCCCCTGGGTGTCCTAGATTCCAGCCTCTGGCCCGTGGCAGCATCGCAGTGGGACTGGGCCGGGCCTTCCCTGCCGGCCTGGGCCTCCTTCCCACAATGATAGGGGTGGCTTCCCCAGGTCCCCACTTTCCTTCCCTCTGGACTCCTATCCCCCACCATTCCCATCTCCCCCTGGATTCCAGGAGCCGCCAGTGGTGTCTTGCCCGTCGGGGGTTCCCAGAAAGTCTCAGGACTCCCGCTGCAGTCCCGGGACGCAGGGGCCGGGGTAGGGGGAGGAAATTCTCACACAGCTCTCTCCCAGGAGCTTGCTCCTGTTCCCAGGCCGACAACTGGCAACCCTCAGGACTCTCTGTCCCCCTCCCTCCTCCTCGTCCTCTTCCTCCTCCTCCTCCCTGCCTGGCCTCCCTCTCTCCCCTGCCCCCCTTCTCGGGCTTAATGACTTCCACATGGGCCTCTGGCAGCTGGAGCCAAGCCTCCCAGCATTGTCTGAAATCTCCAAATTTAGAAGAAATATGAAAATTGTCAACCACTCCTTCCTTAGGGGGTAAAAGCAACATTCGGCACGAGGGCAGGTCAAGGCGCGGCCGTCACGTGGTGGGCGCCCCGGCCAATGGGGGCCCTGGGAGGACGGGGCTCCCGCCTCACCCCGCACCGGGCTGGCCCTTCAGCTCATATAAGGTAAAAGGCAGAGCGGCCTCTGTAGTCGGGGCGCCCCGGGCGAGGGGCCGAGGGGAGGGGGGCCCAGTGCCAGCCACTTAAAAATGCCCCCGTGGCGCTGAGGGGCACCAGAGGCCGGGTCAAGTTAGTTGAGAAGCAGGGACACCCCCAACCACTCCCCAGACATGCCGGCCCCCATCTCCAGGCCCCAAGGAGCCACACCTGGACCCGGCCCCGGGAAAGGTAAGCGCCAGCTGCAGACCCGTGCATGGGGGCCTCTGTGGCCCCTCCCGGGGGGTGCTGCATCCGGAGGTCTTGTCCTTGCTCTCTTCCTAACTGGCTCTGTGCCCTTCACCTCTCTGGGTCTCAGTTTCCCCATCTGTACAAAGGCTGGACGTGATGATCTCTAAGCGTCCACCCAGCCCTGACCCCCGTGGGCTTATGGCACTCCTTGCTGCTGGGGTGACATGGGGGGCGCAGGGGCAGAGGGAGTGGAGAGGGAGTTCATGTCCTGCCGGGCCAAGCTTCTGCACCATGCCCGAATGCCGGAGTCAGGGCCAGAATACCTGGCTCCCAAGCAGACAGGGCTTCTTGTTGTCTGAGGCTTTGATTTCGCAGCTCCAAGAGCCTGGGGCTCCTGGCAAGGAAAACTGTTTTCAAATAATAGTTTCAAGAAACAAAGCTGGGGAGAGGCAATGCGAGCTCAGGCTCTGGCAGGCGGGAGAGAGCTGGGAAGGCCAGGTGCTGGCTGTGCAGGGAGCAGAGGGAAGCGGTGCTGGCTGGGGGAGTCGGGGGACCTGGGTTCTAGTCCCAGCTCTGCTCTCCATGCCTGGCTGTGTGGCCTTGGGCAGGCACCTGCCCCTCTCTGGGCCACAGTTTCCCCATCTGTATAAAAAGGCCCTGGACAAAACAGTCTGTGCAGGATGTGGCTACTGAGTTGTTTGCATGTAAGGGGCAGCCAGGGTTAAGAAGTTTCCCCAGGCGGGCCGGAACCAAGTCTGCCCTTTGACCCCGGGCTCTAAAGCCCAACAGATGAAGCCCATGGGAGATTTTGGAGGGAGAGCCTGAAGCGACGGGGAGCAGCTGAGGGTCTGTGACTGCAAGTTGGCCAGGTGTGCCCTGAGGCCTCGGATGAGCTTGGCCCTGGCAACCCAGCCGCTGCTGAAAAGGGGGCTGATCTCTGGACTCAGTGACACAGGAGTACAGGACATTGGGGCGGGACGGGGACAGGAAAGATGGCAGAGGGCTTCGGGAACGTGAAGTGGTGGGACCAGAGAACCCAGAGGAAGGCAGGAGACTCCGATGGGCACTGCAGGAGGCAGGGCTGGGTAGGGGCAGGGGCCTAGGATTGGAACTCGAGGACATACAGGCAGCGTCCAGTCAGGCCCCCCTGAACACACTCTGGCCACACCCAGGGCCCAGAATGGAACACAGTCCTCCAGCGCCAGCCTGCCCAGCACCCTGACCTTCCCGCTTCTGGTCACACAAGGCCCAAGGTCATAGTGGTCCGGAACCGGGTGCGGAATCCGACTGCCTGGGTCCAATTCTGGCTTGTTTACTTGCTGTACGAGTGACTCTGGGAAAGTCACCTGCCGTCTTTGAGCCTCGGCTTCCTCCTCTGTAAAATGGGTACGGTTCTGACCTCACACGGTTGTCATAAGAGTGAGGGGCAGAGGCACAGAAGAGCAGGAGAAAGGGGGCTGGTGTTGCGTTGCAGCTGGACCCCGCAGCCCTTGTAGGGCAAGACGACCTCGGGGAGAAGTGGGACCAAGCCCCAGCCAGGGAACACCCAGAGTTGCTGGAGAGACAACAGGCTCTGGGAGGAGGCAGGAAGAATCCAGAAGTCAGAGGTTAAGGGCTACAGAAGAGAGATCGGCTGGAGATGCCTGAAGGACTAGGCGAGGTCTCCTTTCCTGCCTTTCTGGGACCCCGTGTGGGCAGCGCGTCTCCGCGGTATGGCGTCTGCACGCTCATCTGCGCAGGGAGCCTGCCCAGGGCTGGGAGTCTGCGTGGCGAGCCACCCAGGAAGTCTCACGCACACGCACCTTTGGGGGATGCTGGGCTGTGGAGCAGGCGGGGACCCTCACAAACAGCCCCGGCAACCAAAGCCACAGAAGGAAAACACTGCTCTGGGTCACTCAGCGAGCTACCAGCAGAGCCGGAACAGAACCAGCCTCTGCCCAGCCAGGGGCTCACCTGGTGGTGCAAACAAGGAGAATTAGTCTGCTCTCATGTGTGGAGTGCTTATAAGGTCTGGGCTCTTCCTAAGGTCTTTACATGAATTAATTCATTTAATCCTTACAGCGAGGAAGGTGCCATTGTTATCCCCATTGCGCAGATGAGGTAGCAGGCCCAGAGAGGTTAAGTGGCTTGCCTAAGGCCACACAGCTCGTGAATTGTTAAGCCTGAACACTGCATGCATGCCAACTGCCCCAGGCTGCTGTCTCCCCTAGAAGTCCCCCACCCCCTGCCCTGCCCCTCGGCCACCCTGGAACCCTCTGGAGAGCCTCCAGTGTACCTCATGCAAGGGGGCCGAGTGCGAATAGAGGAATTCCCAGGAGTCAGACAGTCGCTGGCCTCACCCCTTAATCCTCCCAGGATTTCTGTGAGGCGGGAATCGGCACCATTCCACCACCTCGGTTGGTAGAGAAGGAGGCCACTGCAGCTTACCCAAGGTCACGAAACCAGAAGCTGGCAAAGGGGGTTGGAAGGCAGGGATGGGGACGACCCTGCAGAGGAGACTGAGGCAGAGAGGGAGGCCGTGGCCAAGCCTAAGCACAAGTCTTCTACTATCGCTGGCCCAGAGCAGGCAGGAGTCTGTTTGTCACTGGTCCCTTGGAGCCACACTGCAGCTCTTGAGCAAAACCAGCCCCTTCCCTGCCCGGCAAGTTCTGGGGAAGAGCTGACTCATACAGCCCTGAGGAGTAGAAAGTTCCCACCCCTGTGCCACCACTGTCTGAGCCCGAGGGGCGCAGGGAGATGACCCCTAGGCATAAACCTAGGGGGGGGGGTCACTGGGGCCTGGGCGCAGACCTGTCAACTGTACGGGACAGCCCACATCATTTGCCCAAGCGGCTGAACCAAGTTACACTCCCACCAGCCGTGTACAAGCGTTCCCCGCTCCTTGACCATACTTGAAACGGTCAGATTTCTTGAAGCATATATATGTGTTACACCGTTGTTGTTGTTTTTTTTTAATATCAAATTTGTATAACCAAAAACATAAGGAAGCAATGGAAATAAAAATGCATGTAAGTGTGTCTGCAGGATACTACATTCCTGCCCACGTGGGTATCTAGAAACTTGCCCGACATGGGCCAAGTTGCAGGCACCCTAAATCACAGACACGGAAGGCCTTGGGTGGGAAGGGGCACTGCTCACGCAGCCCTCCCCGGGCCCACAGTCTGCAGTGGCTGTGGTCCAGTGGGAGGTCACCCGGGGGATGAGCTGCAGGAATTTGGGGGAAAGAGCCCACGGTGGCTGCCGCCTGCTAAGGGCTTGTCTAGACAGGCCCCACAGGGCTTCCCCACACATTGCGAGAGCTGTGCCCAGCCCCGTCCCCGCTTGCAAAAGAGGCTGTTGGCAGCCCTGCCTCACCACCAGAAACCTTTTCTCCAGTTCAAAACACGCCTTAATGCACGGCACGAACTACTCGCTCTCGTGGCCCACAGAGGCTGGCTTGTTCGGGGCCCTCTTCCTTTGGATGGGGAAACTGAGGCTGACTCCGAAGCCAGGGGGCTTTCAGATGTGGAGGGGATCCCTGTGCCCAGGTGAAGAGGGGACCAGGCGGCTCAGAGGCAGTAGGCTGGCAGCTCAAGGTGCCAGATGGGAGCCAGGCTGCCTGGGTTCGAATCCTGGGTCTGCCTTGTAGCAACAGCGGGACCATAGGCAACCAACTTAGGCACTCTGGAGTGCAGTGGCCTCATCTGTAAAACGGGCATGATAAGAGTGCCGTCTCATTAGGTTACTGAGTTGTCTAGATTAACTCATTAAAGTGGGTTAAAACTCATGAAGCCCTTAACACAGTGACTGATACATAGTAAGTACTCAATAAGAAATAACTGCTACGATATGTTTAAGAAAGGCCACTTCTCGGGGCGGGGCGGGGGTGAGGAGATGCTTGACTGGGCTCCAACTTTTCTTTGGACCTTGGGGGATAAACTGCATTGTTCCTTCAGAGACAACACTTGCCCATGGGTGTGGCCATGTGCACCTGTAGTCCCAGTTACTCGGGAGGCTTGGGAGGATTGCTTCAGTCCAGGAGGAGGCTGGCATGGAGCTAGTATCGCTCCAGGCCAGGTAACAGAGACCCCCATCTCAAAATAAATAAAAAAATATGTACCATTTGCCATATATCAAGTCCTCCAAAGCGCTCGGAGGTACCACCTCTGGGCACTAGAGAGGCTCAGAGAAGCTTAGTCATTTGCCCAAAGTCACACAGCTTGTAAGCAGCCACACTGGGACTCAAACCCAGGTATGGCTGACTCTAGAATCATGTGCTTGACTGCCATATTCTAAAAGCACTCCCATAGGCCTGTGAACCAAAACTAGCTCTGATTCTGACTTACCTAGTAGGACCCTTGGTATCTGGGGATGAAGGGCCGTTGGAAATCTGAAGCCCCCTTTTAGATTAGGAGTTATTATAATAAGGGAAGAAACAGACTCCTTACTCCCTACTCCCTCCCTCCCTACCCCTTCTCAGGGGCAAAAATGCAGACCCCGGCAAAATAATCCTTCTCGCCAATGGGCACCCCATAGGGTGGCTGAGCGCCTTGGGGACCTCGTCAGTGTTGGGCCGCCCCTTACCCTGCACAGCCCGCCTGAGACTTGAGGAAGGGGCGGTCAGATAGGCCCTGGGGAAGGCAACTCCACCTCGCTCCTCCCCGAGAGCCCCTCCTTAAAGACCCCTCCTCCAACCCAAGCTGTGCTTTGGGGGAGACAGGAAAGCTCCAAACTGCTGATCTGCTCCTACCTTCTGCCCCACTCTCTCCTCCTCTTCTTCCTCCTCCAGGGGAACGGGGGCGGGTGAAGCGTCCAGAGGGAGGCTGCCTGCTGGCCAGGGGACGGCATCCACAGGGCCCTGACACCTCCCCTGGCTGAGCTGTGGTGCTCGGGGCCGGGTCAGCCTGCCAGCCCTTGGCATGTGACCCAACAACCCTGTCAGGGAATCGGTGGGATGAGTGGAAGGAGGCAGGGAGAGAGAGAGAGAGAGACAGGCCAGCACACTCGGGTAAGTGCCCCTG